TGGAACCGCCCCATAGCCTCTTATTCGACCACCGTGTTCGGGATTCTATAGGGCATATGTCAATTCATCCTTCTCTCTGTTGGGCTTGAAAACACCACTATCAGCTTCTTCCCTAGCACGAGCTAGTCTCGTGTTACTCTCTCAATTTTTGGCCGAAAATTAGCTTGCCGATTGCTCGGGTCTAGGCTTCCCCATGAGCGTAGAACCAATTCTTCGCGCGTTGAGGCCAGTTCTTCTCTATTGTTTGGTATGATTCCCTTGGCGGTAATCTCTCGCTTCTAGGTTACGCCACTTGGGAATAGCACTCCTATAACCACCGATCCCATGCTGATGATGGTATTGCTTACATTGGGCATTCTCGCCGATTTCTCATCACACGTTCCTCCTTTGTCTTGAGATGTCTTGTATTCTACGAAGGCATCCCAATGGGACTCAACTTGACAAACGCCTTAGCATTGAAATCCGGCGTAGCATTCTTCAAGATAAACTTTTTATACAATGTCTTCTTCCAACTCTGGAACAATGTTGCCATCTTCTTCATTGTCCAATCCCTCACTAGCTCCTTCAAAGCATCATCTGCTTGTAATGTGAAATGCTGAGTGATATCTCTCCAAGCTAGGTTCTTGTCACGATCAGATACAAAACTAACATTAGGAGCGGATATCTTCTGCTTCCATTCACGAGCACTAACTGGGATTCTATCCCTTACAATGAAACCACATTGATTGACATATGTCTGAGCATGTGGTTCCAATGGTTTGCCGGTGTCGGTGTCAAATTCTGATATTATGAAACGGCCCTCTAATAGCTTTTTTGGCCCTCGGACTTTCCTACTTTTGTCGGTGGTTGATGTAGATCCAGAGACTGGCTACATGAGTAGAAACACAACGATTAACAACAAATATACGTACGCATGCATCTATAAGATATGATAGATAATCGAATATACCTCGCCAGTATTTTCTCCCGTGACAATTTGTTGATCTTCAACCACCGGCATATTCAAGATATCCTCATAATCAGCAAAGTACTGATTCGTGTCATCTACATCCACATTGGTGCCGGCGTTGATAATATCCACCATTATGTCATCATCCGGAGCAGCCATTTGTATCTTCAAGATAACACATAGATAGAATTACTATGGTACATAACATAAGTACATGTGATAACACATATAGAATTACTAAATCCAATTACATATAATAACACATAATATTTCATAAGAATAAACAATAATAAGGTATAGGCTTTGGAATCGAATCAAAAACACTTTCTATCCAAAAACATGGAAATAAGTACATGTATATATATACACATAGAATGATACAATATATTTTCTCTCTCTCAACACATAGAAATAAGTGCATATGTCTATATCTCTAGATATATATGCATGTGATAACACATAGAATGTCTCTCTAGATACAATTTTCTCTCTCTCTCAACACATGAAAATAAGTACATGTATATATACATATAGAAATAATTAAGTACATATGTATACATATAGAATAATCTCTCTCTAGATATATATAGAGAGATAGAATATATAATTACTAAATCCAATTAAATAAATCTAACATGAAATTAGATAAACTAGTAATAGATAATACATTTTAATGTAAAATATATCAAAAACTATAATAAAAAACTATCTAAAAACTATCTACATAAAGTACTAATTAAATTTTAATACATTTAAATCTATCATATATCAAAAACTATCTAAAAAACTAACTAAAAAACTAACAATAAACTACTAATTAAATTTTAATACATTTTAATCTAACATACAGCCGAGACTTTGTAAAAAAATCTAAAAAACATGGCCGATCGAGCAAGCAGATCACGAGAGTTCGACGGAGGGTATACGGTGGGCGCGCGGGAAGCGTCGGCGATGGAGGGTGGGGTCTGGTGCGGCGGCGGAGACGGGATGCGGCGCGCGATGAGGGTCGGGAGAATGGCACGGCCGGGCGGGGGTAGACGACGACGGCGGCACCGTAGAGACGAGCTCGACGACGGCGGATGGCGTGGCTAAGCGGGCCTGAGCGACGGAGGCGAGGTCAAAGATGAACTGAACAGAGGTTCGATATATATAGGCTGGGACCCTTTAGTCCCGGCTGGTAACACCAGCCGGGACTAAAGGACATTTAGTCCCGGCTGGTAAGACCAACCGGGACTATGACTACATCCTCTACCATGGCAAAGTATTGAAGTTGCTATGGAATTAATTGATTAACCTAGTATTAAACAAAATCAAAATCCCAGGCCTTTCCAATTACGTTGGCGGTTGGTCTTACCAGCCGGGACTAAATGTCCTTTAGTCCCGGCTGGTGTTACAAGCCGGGACTAAAGGTATTTTTGGGCGGGCACCGAAATTGCCGCCACCCTTTAGTCCCGGTTCTTTTAGTCCCAACACCAAGGACTGAAAATTTTGGCAACCCGCCAACGTAATTAGAAAGGACTGGGATTTTGATTTTGTTTAATACTAGGTTAATCAATTAATTCCATAGCAACTTCAATACTTTGTCATGGTAGAGGATGCAGTCATTAGGACATGCATGTATCTTCTGTATTTTTAATCCCAAAGGGCAGACAACCTTTTTTGCTTCGTACATAGTGGTGGGCAATTCATTTGGCTTCGGAAGCATCTTCTTTATGAGGTTCAATAAATTCCCAAATGTCTTGTCGGATACACCATTCTTTGCCTTCCACTGTAGCAATTCCAGTGTTGTACCCAGCTTTTTTTGTCCCTCTTCGGCCGTCGGGTATAGCAACTTCCTATGATCCTCAAGCATGCGCTCGAACTTAACTTTCTCTTTTTCACTTTTCCATTCTTGTTGTGCATCACGAATGGCATCGCCAAGAGCATCACCGAGATCATCTTCTACCGCTACCTCTTCTTCATCTCCCCCCATTGTAGTATCATCAAAGGCACCATACTGAGCAATAATGTCATCAATGTCTAAATCTTCTCCTTCACCTTCTACCATCATGACCCCGCTTTCTCCATGCCTAGTCCAACATATATAGTTTGACATAAAACCTGACTTAAGTAAATGTGAATGAAGACTCATTGAGCTTGAATATTCCTTTAAATTCTTACATGGGGCACATGGACAGCACATGAAACCATCCCGCTTATTTGCCTCGGCCACACCTAAGAAATAGTGCAAGCCCTCAATAAAGTCTTGGGAGCGGCGATCGGCATTGTACATCTAATGGCGTGACAAAATCTGTATTACACGACAAATTATGAAAACCTTGAACATAATTAAGTATTTTATTACACAACATAGATGACACACACACGGTTGATTAATTAACTAAGCCTGGCTACAACGTAAGTAATCCCAACTATCACTAAACAAACTAAAACTATAATGCACTCCAGTAACATAATTATTTTGTGATCGTACGCAACTAAAACGGACAAATCATTCTTCTGTTGAATATCAATAAGCTTCTCCTGCTGGCTCACTGCCTCATCAGCAGCAGCCAAATTCTACACGTATGTAGCATAATCTTCCTCCTAGTACCAACCATCGCATCCATTGCCCTCCCACTGAAATTAAAGCCAAAAAATATTTAGTCAAAAATATTCAAGAAAAGCAGGTCAATTAGCTATAATAATCAAATGCGTAAGAAACTCACATCGCGATCTGGGCACTTGTAGAAAACACGACCCTTGTTGGGTCCCTGTCTCTTGACTCGGTACTCCATCACAATCTTCTGCTTACACTTGCCGCAGATAATGAGAGGGAGTTCTGGCCTCAGTCGTTTCGCAACCGAACGAGAGGCCGAGGATCTAATACCAGTTGTCATCTACTTTCTATACTTATTTTTGCAAACTACTATAAATTTCACATTTTCTAAAATAATATATTTAAACAAAACTAAAATTATTTATTTATCTAATTAAAACATGAAATATGTACTATGTATAATAGTAAAATACCAAACTATCAAGTGATTTTACTATTGTAAATCATCATGTGATTTTGAGCTAAAAATGACATAGAAATCACATAGCTCAAAAACATGTTTCAATAAATAACCATCCGTACTAGTTGACATTGCTTACGTGATCATCTCGGCGAGCATTTCTCCACCGGACGGCACCGTACTTGGCCAAGGAAGAGCTCCGATTCTACGAGGAAGGGAACACGGTCTTCCACGACCGTTGTCGCTCTCCCTCGTAGAATCAAAGCTCCTCCTTGACGTCCGTTACCGCTCGGTAGAGAAAATGCTCGCCGAGATGATCACGGTCCGCAAGTTCAACTAGTACGGATTTTCTACAATTTTCTAACTATTTTCTAAGTTTTTCATTTCATGGAAAAATTAATTCTAAGATCACGTAAGCCGCTGGGGACGAGGATGGCGCGTGCTCCAGCGAGGACGAGCGAGGCGTGATTTTGATAAACTAATTTAACTTTTGTTTATCCAAACATATATGCAAATCATCATGTGATTTTGAGCTAAAAATGACATATAAAATCATAATAAAGTCCAACATATAAAGTTACGCATGCATCTACATCACAAAATGAGATAAGCTACTGATAAAACATAAGAGGATTAAGTTTGTTACCTCCAAAATCGAAGAGCAACACCAATAGAGGGGGAGAGAGCAAAAAAAACAGCAAGCTGAAGAACAGAGGCAGTGAGTTTGAATGGAATGGCTCGGGCTCGGGGAGGAAGAAATAAGCCGTTGTCTAGGCCCGCATAATTAGTCCCGGTTAGGTGGTCAAACCGGGACTAAAAATTAATATTTATTCCCGGGGTATCACCTAAACCAGGACTAAAACCTTTAGTCCCGGCTGGTATTACCAACCGGAACTAACCTTTAGTCCCGGTTGGTAATACCAGCCGGGACTAAAGATCCCTGCCACGCGGACGACCGTTGGGCAGGAACTTTTAGTCCCGACGGTAAAAAATGCCGAAGCTAATATTAAATTAGAACATCATTCTAAAGTCTGTTCTCTAGTGCTGAGAAGATGGTGGCCATCCTGGTGGGGTGCAACTATGCCGGTACGGAGAACGAGCTGCAGGGCTGCATCAACGACGCCCAAGCCATACGCGCCGTCCTCCTCGACCGCTTTGGCTTCGCGCCGGCCGACGTCACCGTGCTCACCGACGACGACCACCACGAGAGCGGCGCCGGCGTGCTCCCAACCGGCGCCACCGTCAAGCGCACGCTGGCCGAAATGGTGGCGCGCGCGGCGCCGGGGACGTGCTCTTCTTCTTCTTCAGCGGCCACGGCACGCTCACCCCGTCCGTCAGCGGCCATGGCGGCCGCGACGACGAGGCCATCGTGCCCTGCGACCACAACCTCATCTATGGTCTGTGTCGTCTGCGCACGTCCAAGCACTCCCACAATATAGTCCCATGCACGCACGTCGTTTCTGACGAGATCTGACTGACATGCTTGCTTGCATGCACGCGCGACGTCGCGGTGGTCCCGCACGGCAGACGTCGACTTCCGGGAGCTGGTGGACCTCATGCCGCGGGGCGCCACCTTCACCATGGTGTCCAATTCGTGCCACAGCGGCGGCCTCATCGACCAGGAGAAGGAGCAGATGGGCCCCGACGTCCCCGCTGACCCCGACCTCCACGCCCACGCCGTCCACGCCGCCCGGTTCCTCCCGTATGCCGCGGTGATCGCCCACCTGTCCGCCGCGTCGGGCGTGGACGCGTCCCACCACGTCGCCGACGGACCACCTGCTCGCGCTCTTCGGCGCCGACGCCAGCGCCAAGTACCGCCGCGACCACAACGGCGGCAACAGCGGCGGCGCCGCGCGCACCGACGACGCCGACGCTGGGATCCTGCTGAGCGGGTGCCAGACGGACGAGCTTTCGCTGGAGGTGTGTGCGGATGGCGGCAGAGCGGCGTACGGGGCGTTCAGCGGGGCGCTGCAGGCCGTGCTGGCGGCACACCCGACGCTGATGAGCAACTGGGAGGTGGTGTGCGGCGCCAGGGATGTGCTCCGCAAGCAGGAGTTCCCGCAGCACCCCTGCCTCTACTGCAGCGACGCCAACGCCGACGCGCCGTTCCTCGGGCACGGGCAGCAGGAGACCAAGAGCAACTAACTGAGCAAGGAGGAGGAGGCAGCCGGCAGCTAGCATGCCCATGCTCTTATTATTATTATTTTATTATTATATTAGTAAATAACTAGCGTGTGGCGTGTGCTTATTTTTATTTATTATATATAAATAAACTACGTGTGTATATACAGGGACGTAAAGAAATACGAGGCAGCTAGCATGCACCATCATCAAGCAAAACCAAATAAATAGCATTCCTTCATATTGCATTGGCCGTGTTTGTTTGAGTTTAGTGAGAAGCTGCAACAAAAAAAAAACTCTGGCAAAAGGTGTATTAATAAATTCATTTTTAAGAAACATATTTTCAAAAATGTTTGCTTTTTAAGCAAATGCTTCTCAAAAAAAAAATTAATCCATTGTTTTAAACCGGAGTGTCATGTGAATGCCAGCGGGCTGCGCTCATTATTCTGTCAGTTTTAATTTATCTTTTCTTCTTCTCTTTTTTCTGCTCACTATTTTTCAGCGAACGTGTTTGAGTTAATGATGTAACCCGTAAATATCTTGCTACCCACATGCTGAATGAAATGGCAGAACGACTGCCCAATTTCGCTCAAAAAAAAAGGTCACCAGCAGTGGAGGGCTAGTGCCATGTGAGTTGACAGCAATGATTCTATGAATTCTCTCTGGTCACCATCGAGACCAACGAGATGTTGCCACGTTTTGCCAAATCTCTAAATCACCACAGCGTGAACCTCGCCTGGTTGAGCCCCGCATGCCGACCCTACATGCCGTTTTCGAATCGTCGTCGCTCAACCTCACTATAAGGGCCACGGTGGAGCTGATTCAATAGTGAATTCCAAATCCAGATTCACTTTTTATAGCGGTGAATTTCTGCCAAACCGTCCCTAATCATCCGGTTCAAGGAAATAGATGTGGAGCCGGAGTGAAGGAGCTGGCATTGCTGCCAGAGCCGAGTGGCATGTCATCCCTCCAAGAAGGGATAGTGCCAGCCACCACATTGACGTAATATGACGACTGAATTCATAAACCAGTTGTGATTATACCTTTATTAGAACAAGCTTTATATGATCTAGAATGCTGTCACGAACATTTTGGAGCATGATAAATTATTTTAGTTGAACATTTCGAAGATCACACTCAAAACATCAATTTTTTTATCAACGTGTAATTTCTTTAATCCCGTCTATCGGCGCAGCTAGCGTTCGGACGCCCGGACATATGCCCGCGTCCGGATGCAGCACCAGCAGAACCAGCAGGCGCGGCGACTCCGACGAGAGGTGGGATGCGCTCAAGAAACCGATGAGCCTAGCCTGTTCGTCGTCCACGGCGGCAAACAGCAACGTCAAGAGGAGGTGCGACAGCAGCAGGCCTCCCAACACCAACAGGCGCGTGTCCTCCTCTTCTGCCGAGCACTGGGACGCCCACAAAAGGCGTCTCCGTCAGCGCAGTCACTTCGTGGATGGAGCCGCGGCTTCGAACACTTCGTGAGTGGTGAGAGCGGCGGGCGTGCCCTGGAGCAACCACACGGCGCAGTCAGCGCCGCCATCTCCTGGCAGTTGTGCACAGAGTCAGATCGAGCACCGAGACGCGGCTCTCCCGGCGCTGCTCCCGACCCCGCCCAAGTGGAAGATGCTGCCGCGCGCTGCTCCCGACGCCTGCAGCGCCGACTCCGACGAGAAGTAGGACGCGCACAAGGCCAAGTCAGCCAGCACAGAATCCTCAGCCTCATCAAGCCCTCGTTCCACTTCCGCCGACAGCATCAGGAGCTGCCCCGGACGCGGATCCTCGCGCAAGAGCGCGACGTCTCTGCCGGCCAAGACCGGCCGGGCCGACTCCGTTGAGCGATGGGACGCGCATAAGAAGGCGGCGATCCCAGCTTCGTCATCGACGTCGTCAGGCAGCACGTCTTCCTTCGTAAACAGCGCGTCGTCCGCCGAGCGCTGGGACATGCACAAGAAGCGTCGGCCGCCGCAGGCCGAGCCACTCGACGATGGCGAGAGCAGCAGTACTGGCAGCAACGACATCGACGACACGGAGGAGGAGATACTATGGAAGCCGCGGGCCATGTACGCTGGACCGGGATTCGTCAGCGCCGCGCCGGAACCCAGCATGCTTCCCATGCCGGAATCGTTCTTGGTTCCGGTTGCATAGCGCTGCACTGCACGAACTCCATCGATCGGATCAGGACTCAGGCCGCTGGTTTCTTCAGCTACCTAAGCAAGTGTGATCATGTAGGGGTTCTACTACGACCAGTGATGCTTATGGCGTTAGAATTTGAATGCTTTGTGTGTTTTTGTAGGTCTTAGATTTCATCTGAATTTGGTGCCTTCCTCAAGCTCAAACTGTAAATGGATGCATCCATCTGCAAGTGTCATCATCAATTTCTTGATTGATTACGTTTCAATTTCAGCACTCCACTCGTGTGTCGTGTTCAAAATGAATTACTCGCGCTTTGCCTACTTAAAGAGGAACATTGCCAGAAGTACTGACGTACAGCCAGTGGAGAAGAATGAATAGAAGCATCACAAAGAAGCACACTTTCTGATGGGCTGGGCTTATAAAGCCACCGAACGATGGGAGAGGTTGCACGCTGCTACCACCACACAAAAATAAACAAGTTCACAAGTTGTACAAAACGTAAACCCATAAAACCATTTTTAAAAAAAAAATGAGACCAAATAATTCTACCAAATGGTCGCAAGGAAAAAAGTTCCTTTTACCTCTTGAACTATCACTGTGGTCTGATTTTCTTCACCAACTCTAAAACTGGACATCTCCCTCAACTCTCATAACCTGTTAAATTACCTAAATGCCTTACTTGGAAGTAGTTTTGAACTCATCCTTCTTTAGTTAAAAAAATCTAGAAAATACCTAGGTAAGTTTTTAAACCACAAAAATTGTATCTAGGCTTCTAAAAATTTCAAGAATCACAGAGACATATAAATCCAAATAAAATATCTCACAAAAATATCTTTAGAAGCTTTAAAAATTGTACACACATCTAGAAATAATGATAAAATATCTAGAAAATTCTTAATTAGAACATTCTAATTGATGTCTTAATGTGTTTTAAAAATATTCCATAAAAAATATGAGATGCAACCGGCATGAATACAACACACATTTGATGTTGAACGCACTCATGTTGGTCTCGTATTTTTGTTGTAGAAAGTTTTCAAAATGCATTTGAACATCGATTAGAACATTTTTGGGAACTTTTTAGATTTTTCTGGAGCAGAATATGATGTTTGGAAGCTTGTACAGATATTTTTCATGAACTCTAAATATTTTATTTGGGTTTGTCGTGTTCTAATACATCTACAAGATTTTTTTTCAAAATTCTAGAAGCTCATATATACATATATTTTAATTTAAAAACCTTATTTGGTATTTACACATTTTGTAACTAAAAAGGATGGAACCGCCTTTAAAATGGCATCTAAACGGGGGTAGAGAGGAAATTTAAACAATTTGGAGTTGATGGGGAGATATTCGATTTTAGAGTTCAAGTAGGAAGATTAGATCATGACGACAATTGAAGGTAAAAACAACTTCTTCCAAGTCACATGATGGCCCATCCACATCCCCATCACTCACCTCCCACCGCCGTCTCTACCTGCACTTCCCTAACGTCTGCTCCTTCTTTTGTCTCTTCCCACCATGATGCTCTACTGTCGCCACCTTGACCGACATCCAGGTCACCGATGTCCTCACCGTCCACATCCTACTACCGCCAGCGTAACCTCTGTCCATCCAAAATATTGTGGTCGGTCAGCCCCCTCCCCCTTGCCGCCACCTCTCTCACCGCTTGTTGAACCGTCTCCACCACCAGTCCGGGCACCACTACGATGCCTGACCCCTTCCCCTTCTTAGGCCGCTGGCCTGGCCTGGCATGGAGATCCCCTAAATCCTTAACCCAAACGAGAGGAAGAAGACGACGTGGACGAAAGTTTGGTCCAATCGTGCGTTGACACATGTAGTTATGCACCTCTTGCAGCCACTATGAACGTGGGAAAAAATTTTCTAGTCACTCGTGATGCATAGCCAGGCTCCATTTCCGTCGATTCATCCTCATCGATGTTTCCTAATCCTTGTATGCAACACGCAAGCCTTGGCCCATCTTCTAGCCTAGTGTTTTCACGGCACGCAGCACAGCCCATCAACACATCAATCGATTGCTCCTGAGTGGTGCTGCACGCAGGGATGTTGTGCATGTCACGAGTGCATCCAATATTGTATTTCGGTAGAGCTAGCGCTCGGACATCTGGACGGACGACCGCGTCCGGATACCCGTGCTTGCTTCGCTTCACGCACACACGTGGGAACCGTTGCGCCTGCTCCGTTTCGCGCGTGAACCGCCTGCGCCCACTCCATTTCCCGAGCATCGTTTCTGCGTGCACACGAGAATCCATGCGCCCCACCTGCGAATGCGCGTCGCATGACTCTGGCGTCCCATCCAACAATATATGCTTGAAAACACGAAACACTTGCTGCAACATATGTCTGAAATAGCTGAAACATTTAGAACATACACTTAAATCATATGAGTAGCCACAACAATATATGTGTGAAACATATGCAACATTCAGATAAAACACTTGCAACATACGTCTAAAACAGATGAAACATTTTGATCAGCCACGTGAAACATATGTGTATAGCCATTGCAACATATGCAACATCTGGATCTACTTTTGCAACATCGTCCATATGAAACACTTACAATATACCTCTAAAAGATCTGAAACACTTGAAAACACTTGCGCCGTTTCTTTTGGCCTGCTCCTGTTGGTAGGCTGGGCTGAGACTGACTTGTTTAAAATTCAAAATTTTCTGGGCCTGAAATAACCACCTCAATCTGTATACAAATTACTCATCTTTAACACTACAAAAACTAATACAAAGCAACCCTTAAATTCGCATTTAAATTATCCAAATATTTCATTGTGAACCATAATATAAAGTAACACCTTTAATATTTACCTAAATTATTCACCCCATTATAAAAAATAAACTAAAGTTCCCAGATTTTACGTATAAATAGTAATATAAATTATTATGAAAATTAATTCAACAACATAGAGTATGCTATATATTTCAATAATGTAGAGCAAATAGCATGCATACATTAGGATAAAAAAAATATTTTAATAATTTATTTAATGTGGAAAAAAGTTCTTTGACAAACCACTTATCATTGGCACTAACAAATTCACTTTAAACAACATTAATATACTATGTGACAACAAATTTGTAACTCGTCATTTTAAACAAGTTTATACATTTATTTAGACTACCATTATAATGTTAACTAATTTTAAGAAATCTACGTTTTTTATAAAACAATACTACTACGCATACAATTCTTTAATATAGCAGATTCAACGTCCTGAGTACCATACCATAGAACAAGCTAAAAATAACTTTTCATGTCATTGTATTAATTAAGAGTGTAGCCTAAGACCTAGAACCTTGTTAGGCCGGGCTCCTTCGGGCTCTGTCTCTATGCTACAGTGTCAAGGAGCTAGAGCCGGAGGAGCCAAAGAAAGTGGCTCCCGCCTGGCTCCTAGTGCTTTTGGATAAGAGAGAAAAACAATCTAACAAACAGTAGCATGAGCAGTGCGCATTTTGGAGGAGCTGGAGCCCCTAGGCAAGATTTTTTTTCGGTTTTGCAAAAAATTCGGCCACCACCAAAATTATCGAATTTCGCAAAATTTGGCCGAAATTTTGGGGGAAATTTGTTTATAGACTAGCATATGAATTATGTTTTTTCTAAAAAAAGTTTAGATCTAAACAAATATTAGTATAATTTTTGACTACACATCTATTGAATAGAAGAATATGCAATATAAATAATAGAAAATATGAGTCTAGAGTTATATAGCACAGGTATTAGTGTATTACAAAATTTCGGATTTTTCTTTTGGCTACCACCGAAATTACCGAATTTCACGAAATGCGGCTGAAATTTCGCCGAAATTTTGAACCCTGCCCCTAGGAGCTCTCTCAAACGGGCCCTTAATTTAAGAAGATAAGAAAATAAAATTTGAATAAAATGCACAATAGTCATTTTTTTCCAACTTAACACGTGTATAAAAATTGCAACAATTAGTAAGATCAAAAGTAAAAAAAACTAAAATATATATTCACGACGTCATAAAAACAGGATGCAGCAAGAGCTTATATAATTTAAGTATATGTTTCAGCTAAAAAAATATAAATCATAAAAATTCTAACTAGACGTGCACATGGGAGCCTCTACGTTTGTCTTCATGTGACATGCTATAAACAAAGATAAATCACATAAATCTTCATAAGATAAATCACATATTTATTATGAGGCGTAAAAACCTTATCGTGACTAATTATGTACCTACCTACCATTATGATATATTATCTTAGTAACTCCTTTAATTTGCATCTTAATTACCATTGCCATTGTTAAGACTAACAGTTGTGCCACGACCATGTCAAGCATGGAGCATGGAGGCAGTTGGTGATGTGGATGAACAAGCGAGTTGGCATGAGCGCCTGGAGCAACCACGTCGCAGTCAGCGTGCCCGCGGAGGCTTGGGCTTGCTTGATTCTCGAACAGGCCACCGCCGCCATCTCCTGACACCTGTGCGGTGTGTGCACTGCTTCGGAACCAGCACCGAAACCGAATCGAGAACAAACATGGCGTGGCGCCCACGCCGCAGGCACGTCGGTGAATGAATTCTGATCTGTCGACTCCGATTGACTCACCTGATGATACCACCGACTCGTCCAGCACCCCAGCTGGGGCCTATATATACCTGCTGTTGCCACCGGCGATCCTCTCACCATCGTCTCTCCGCATCATCTCCTCGGCTCACTTGAGGCGCTTCTCGATCGTGTGCGTCTCCGTACGTCGTCTTCGATTTCCACCATGGCGATCCCCGTTGCCCGCGTGCACCTCAAGGTGGCACACGCAGCTCTCCCGGCGCTGCTCCCGACCCCGCCCAAGTGGAAGATGCTCCCGCTGCTTCCGACGCCGTGCGTCGCCGCCATCCTACCGAAGCCCCTCGCCAAGCCCAGCCGCGCCGACTCCGACGAGAGGTGGGACGCGCACAAGACCAAGTCAGCTACCTCTGCTTCATCAAGCCCTCGTTCCACTTCCGCCGACAGCGTCAGGAGCTGCGCCGGACGCGGATCCTCCTCCCGCAAGATCGCGACGTCTCCGCTGGCCAAGCCCGGCCGGGTTGATTCCGCTGAGCGATGGGACGCGCACAAGAAGATTGCGAGCCCAGCTTCGTCGTCGACGTCGTCTGGCACGTCTTCCCTCGTAAGCACCAGCAAGTGGCCGATCAGCCGCGCGAAGTCCGCCGAGCGCTGGGGCGTGCACAAGAAGCGCTGCCCGCCGCAGGCCGACCTGCTCGATGATGGCGAGAGCAGCAGTACTGGCAGCAACGACATCGACATGGAAGAGGAGATACTATGGAAGCCGCGGGCGATGTACGCCGGACCGGGCTTCGTCGTTGCAGCGCCGGAACCTAGCATGATTCCCATGCCAACGGCGTTCTTGGTTCCTGTTGCATAGCGCTGCACTGCACGAACTCATCGATCGTTTCAGGAGTCAGGACTCAGACCGCTGGTTTCTTCAGCTACCTAAGCAAGGGGTGATCATGTAGTGGTGCTGCTTCGACTAATGATGCTTATGGTGTTAGTAATTTGAATGCTTTGTGTGTTTTTGTAGGTGTTGCCTTCTTCAAGTTCAAACTGTAAATGGATGCATCCATCTGCAAGTGTCATCTTGCATTCTTGATTGATTATGTTTCAATTTCAGCACTCCACTCGTGTGTCGTGTTCAAAATGAATTACTCGCGTCTTTGCCTGCTCAAAGAGGGACATTGGCACAACCGCAGAAGTATTGAACTACTGAAGTACAGCTAGTGGAGAAGAACGGATGGAAGCATTACAAGCAACTAGTGGAGAAGGCTTTATTTCAGCACTCCACGGCTTTATTTCAGGGATGCACATGAAAACAATCGATGACAATATTTTTTTCATAGTCCTACTTTCACACAATTGTCATAATATTATGTTGAGAAGGCTTCACAAGCAAAATACACAAGATCAGTTCCCAACACAATAGCATCTCATTTCACACAAAATGACAGAAGCAAAAGACATATGTATAAAATAAAATAAAATATGAAGTCCAAAAATAAAATAAGACAGGGTAGGAACAGTGTACTTATATTAATGCAAATAAAATAAAATAAAATATGAAGCCCAAATAATAGAATGGTTCGGCAACATGCCCAAAAAATATCAAGCACCTGCCCAGCCATATATATTCACATGAGGACTTATAAAATAGTTTGAATATAACCACCGTTAGTTACCCGTTCAGGACGTCTTTATAAACAATATTTTTGCTGGTCTTCCCTGTATGATCCAAATCATTTCTTGGTTTAGCCAAAATTCTTGTTGTTGATCTTGATACCCCTCTTGATAAAGCAACACAAAGCTGTCCATGCGAGAACACAGCTGGAAGGTAGATCCCAACATTAGGTATGGTTTGTCCCTGAGATTTATATATGGTTATATATGGCAAAACTTAGCCATATTGGGAATTATTTTCTCTCGAATTTGAAAGGAAGTGAAATATCGTCTGAGGGAGACAACGGGATCCTTGGTATGAAAACCCTTTTCCGCACATGCTGCCCGCCAACGATCTTGGCATCAATTGCATTCTCTTGCAATGCTCTCACCATAAGCCTTGTGCCACTGCAGAATCCGTTGTTAGGATCAAGATTGCGGAGAAGAATCACGGGACAGTTGACCTTTAGCTTTAGCTCGAATTCAAAACAGTCAATAGGGTAGCGATTCTGAGAATCATCATCAACAGTGTCGAAGCTGTGGTAAACCTTTTTCTCACCGGGAAACCTATCAATCATCATTGCATTCAGCCTATCAACATAGTCATTTTTGTTCGATAGAATGGCATGGGAGCTCGTATACGCCGCTGATGTTGCATTTTCTTCAACGGATGGAAAAACATCTTGAATGAGTTGTTGGACTGCCTCCTCCGTGTCAGTGTAACTAATGACAATGTCATCAGGGAGTTGAACATAATCATCTCCAATGGTTTCCTCGGTCCCATTTCCAATCCGTAGCAGGTACTCTGAAAACCAAGGGTCATACTGCGCCCTCATGTTTCGTGACAATCGTATCTAATGGTCTAGGCTTATAAAGCCACGGAACGAAGCTTTACATGGGCTAGATTGCACGCTGGTACCACCATATATAAACAAGTGTGAAATGGCGCTTGTAGCCTAGTGGTTACAAGAGTCTTGAGGAGCACAACTCAGCTTGTAGGTTTGACTCTCCGTGAGAACGAATATTTAAGGTATTTAACGACGTTGCGATTTCAGTAGTGGGAGATGTTCATGTCAACAGCGAGACGCATGTGGTGACTTCTTCAATCTAACCTCGAGGATTTGCGGTCCTAGTATTCAAAGAAGATCATAAGGGTATAATTTGCATGCCTCCGTAAGGGTAAGTGTGCGTGGCGTTGTGAATGTCTAAGTTATATTGTGTAATTCTAAAAAACTACATAAACAAGTCCATAAGTTATACAAAACGTAAACCCATAAGACCAAATATTTTATTTTAAAAAAAATAAGAGCAAATATTTCTAGCAAATTGTCACACGAAAAGACCTTTTTTTTCTCTTGAACTATCACCGTGGTCTGATTTTCCTTATGAACTCTTAAACTGCACATCTTATCTCCCTCACCTCTCACAACCTGTTAAATTACCTAAATGCCTCACTTAAAAATAGTTTTCAACTCATCCTTCTTTAGTTAAAAAAATCTAGAAAATACCTAGTTAGGTTTTATAACTGCAGAAAAGGTATCTAGGCTTCTAAAAATTTCAAGAAGAATCACAGATATATATAAATCCAAATAAAATATATCACAAAAATATCTTAAAAATTATATTTACCTCTGGAAAAATGACACCTATCTAGAAAATCTAGAAAATTCACAAAAATTCTAATCGATGTCTTAATGTGTTTTAAAAACATTCCATAAAAAATATGAGATGCAACCTACATGAATGCAACTTAAATTTGACGTTGAACGCACTCATGTTGATCTCGTGTTTTTGTTTTGGAAAATTTTCAAAATGCATTTGAACATCGATTATAACATTTTGGGAACTTTTTAGTTTTTTCTAGAGCAAAATATGATGGTTGGAAGCTTCTAGAGATATTCACTCTATTTTTTTTGGTTTTGTCGTGTTCTAATATATCTATAAGGATTTTCTCAAAATTTAGAAGCTCGGATATATATTTTTTTAATTTGAACATCTTAGCTCGGATATAAGATTTTAATTTTTTTAACTGAAAAGGATGGAACTGCCTTTAAAATGACACCTAAACGGTAGAAAACTTAACAATTTAGAGTTGATGGGGTAACATATTCGATATTAGAGTTTGAGTAGAAAGATTAGATCATGACAATAGTTGAAGAAGGTACAAGGAGCCAAAGGGCTTCTAGCCTAGTGGTTGGAGCACCTAAGTAGCATCCAGCAGGCCTGGGTTCGACTCCTGTGGGAGCGAATTAAACAGCTCTAGTAGAATAAAAAAATATAAAAAATAGGTTGGGGATTCACCATGATACTCTACCGTCTGCCACCTCAACCGCCGCCTAGGTCGCCGATGTCCTCACCGTCCACATCCTACTACCGCCGACATAGCCTCTGTCCATCCAAAATGTTGTGGTCGGTCAGCCCCGCCTCCCCCTCGGCGCCACCTCTCTCACCGCTCGTCAAACCGTCATGACCACCAGTCCAGGCAGCGCTACGATATGCCCCCTTCCCCTTCTAAGGCCGCTGGGCATGGAGATCCTCTTAATCCTTAACCCAAACAGGAGGAAGAAGAAGACTCTCTCTTCCCACCATGATGCAATACCGTCTACCATCTCAACCGCCGCCTAGGTCCCCGATGTCCTCACCGTCCACATCCTACTACTGCCGACATAGCCTCTATCCATCCAAAACGTTTGTGGTCGGTCAGCCCCACCTCCCCCTCGGTGCCACCTCTCTCACAGCTTGTCAAACCGTCTTCACCACCAATCCGGGCAGCGCCACGATATGCCCCCTTCCCCTTCTAAGACTGCTGGGCGTGGAGATCCTCTTAATCCTTAACCCAAACGGGAGGAAGAAGAAGGCGTGGCCGAAAGTTTGGTCCAATCGTGCGTCATTGACACATGTCGTTATGCACCTCTTGCAGTCGCTACGCACTTGGAAAAAAATTTTATGCACTTGTGATGCATAGCCAGGCTCTGTTGTCTTCGATTCATCCTCATCAATGTTTCCTCATCCTTGCATGCAACACGCGGGCCTTGGCGTATCTTCCAGCCCAGTGTTTTCACGGCACGTAGCACAGCCCATCAGCACATCGATGGACGGCACACCTGAGTGGTGCTGCACACGCAGGGGTGTTGTGCATCACGAGTGCATAGAATATTTTCCACGCAGGTGCTAAGATTTTGCCATGTCAAGCATGGAGCCATGAAGGCAGTTGGTGATGTGGATGGACAAGCGAGTTGGCCTCCTGCACACAGCGCACGGGAACAAAGGTCCACCGCCGCTCGGGGCCACGTGTCTACAAGCTGATGCCACTGTTGTCGCGGACGGAGCGCGGCGTCCAACACTTCGTTTTTTCCCGTGAGGGGAACGTCGAGCAACCGCGCACACGGGCGGACCACGCGCAGTCAGCGGCGCCGCGGAGCCTTGCTTGATTGTCGAACCGGCCGCTGCCGCCATCTCCTGTGCACAGCGTCGGATCGAGCAGCACCGAAACCGAGTCGAACAGAGATGGCGTCGCGCCCACGCGGCAGGCACGTAGGTCACTACGGGATACTGTGTATTTACCGAGTGTGAGTAACACTCGGCAAATAGTGCTACACACTCGGCAAACTCTTTACCAAGTGCCACACTCGGTAAAGTGGACTCGGCAAACAACGACTCGGTGAAGTTATTTTACCGAGTGTCTAATATCGGCGCACTTGGAGCATAGCGTTATCGAGTGCTACGACACTCGGTAAACAATTATGACTTGACGGTCGTCAGCCTCCAAACTGACCGTTAACGGCGATGTTTACCGAGTGTCACTAGCAGCACTCGGTAAATAAATTATCATTTCGTGATTAAAACAATTCCGCAAATAAATTTTTTGAATAATGTTTACCGAGTGTAGCTCCTAACACTCGGTAAAAGAATAACCATTTTCGTGATTAAAACAATTCCACAAATAAACTTCAGGAATAATGTTTACTGAGTGTTCCCACTCGGTAAAAAGTAGTCAAATATTTCCGAGTGGGGACGCGGCACTCGGTAAAAAATGGCACACTCGGCAAAATTCACAGAATCAGAACCAATTTGGTTCTGTTCGCTGTTTTACCGAATGCTACACTCGGTAAAACTAACAGAATCTCTGTTTTACCGAGTGCTACACTCGGTAAAATATGTCCACAGATTTTTTTTTTGTTTGTTTCAGTGCATATCCAGTCACAATAAGCAACA